CCGAGGCCCCACTGTGCTGGCAGGCACCGGGCAGGGGCTCCTGCCAGCCGCTGGTCCCACCGCTGCCCCAGGAAAATGTCACTGTGAACGTAAGCGAAGCGGAGGAGGAAGGCAAGCCCAGGGTCCGAGGAGGAAGGCAAGCCCAGGGGGCCACCTTTTGCCACCCCTCCCATTTCTTTCGTTCCACAGGAAGCCCTGGAGTTCCCTTTGCTGGAAGGCCACCCCAACCTCTGTGTCCAGGTAAGAAGGGGGCGCCAGAGCAGTGTTGGGAGCAGAACCTTCCTCCCACCCGCAGGGACCCCCAGACAAGACACTGTGTTCTGGACCCACTTGATCCTTGGGTTCTTGGAGCAAAGTGGTTATGGGATTCCTCTTTAGGAGTTCCACTATTTGCCTTAGCAGTGCCAGGGACCCTGAGCCAGTCATTGCATCTCTCTGAAGGTCAGTCTCATCTGTTTAATGGGGATAGCAGTAACGACTTTATAGAGTGGTTATGAAGATTAAATAAGAGAAGCACTTCACATTAGGGACTGGCACAGACTAAATACTCAACAAATGTTAGCTGCTTTTATTATTGCTGTCATTATCCTATGTCCCTAACTTTTACAACTTCACAGGGTTATTACTAACACATTTATTCCAGATTTATTGAGCATCTACTATGTGCCAGGCACTGTTTTAGGCACTTGGGATAGAGGTCAGTGAATAAAATCAATAAATGTTTTCATCCGTAGAGAGCTTATGTTCTAATGGAGGAAGGTAAACAATAGATATAATAAGTAAATTATTTTTTTTTAATATATATATTTTATTGATTTTTTTACAGAGAGGAAGGGAGAGGGATAGAGAGTTAGAAACATCAATGAGAGAGAAACATCGACCAGCTGCCTCCTGCACACCTCCTACTGGGGATGTGCCCGCAACCAAGGTACATGCCCTTGACCGGAATCGAACCTGGGACCTTTCAATCCGCAGGCCGACGCTCTATCCACTGAGCCAAACCGGTTTGGCGTATAAGTAAATTATTATAGTAAGTTAAAATTGTTAATATAAAGCTCTGGCCAGGTGGCTCAATTGGTTGGAACATCCTCCTGTGCACCAAAAGGTTGTGGGTTTGATTCCTGATCAGGGCACACACCTAGGCTTTGGGTTCCATCTCTGGTCAGGGGCATTTGGGAGGCAACCCATCAATGTCTCTCTCTGTCTCTCAAAAAACAATTATTTTTTTTTCAATAAAAACACTCTCGCCCTAACCTGTTTGGCTCAGTGGATAGAGCGTCAGCCTGCGGACTGAAGGGTCCCAGGTTCGATTCTGGTCAAGGGCATGTACCTTGGTTGCAGGCACATCCCCAATAGGAGGTGTGCAGGAGGCAGCTGATTGATGTTTCTCTTGCATCGATGTTTCTAACTCTCTATCTCTCTCCCTTCCTCTCTGTGAAATAAATCAATAAAATATATTTTTTTAAAATCCTCTAGTGAAGATTTAAAAAATTGTATATAAATACTATGGGGAAATGTGGGGAAGGATAGTGAGGATTAAGGTTGCAATTTCAAGTGGGGCCGTCAGGTGAGGCCTCTTTGAGAAGGTAGTTAGATGGGAATGTATAAAGTGTCTTGCCAGATGTGAAAAGAGCTAATTTAGGTTCCCAAGTCCTGTTAGCACAGATGACCTCACAAGGCTGAAGCTGAGAAAGATGGCGTGATTCCTAATCACCCAGATCTGCCTAAGGTCAGGCCCAGAGTGCAGAACCCCCAACCCAACAGGCCTCCCCATGCCTATCCCTTCTACTTCCAGATATTTCTGGTCTTGGCCCTTGCCTTTCTTTCTTTTTATTTTTAATCCTCACCAAGGATACTCTTTCCATTGATTTTTTAGAGAGAGTGGAATGGAGAGAGGAGGGGGAGAAAGAGAGATAGAAATATCAACGTGAAAGAGACACATAGATTGGCTGCCTCCTTCAAGCACCCCAACCAGGTTGGGGAATCAAACCATCAACTGAGGCATGTGCCCTTGATCAGAATCAAATCCATGACCCTTTGGTCCTCGGGCCAATGCTCTAACCACTGAGAAAACCAGCCAGGGCACTCTTGCCTTTCTTTATGCCCCTAATCCTGGCCTCTTCCAAGCAGGTGAGCAGTGGGGAGAAGCTGCAGCTGCAAGAGTGCTTGTGGTCTGGTGAGTAGGGCCTGCAGGAGGCTGGGACAGGGCCATCGCAATAGGGGTGAACCCTGGAAGTGCCAGTTCCTAGGGGTGAAGGTCAGGTATGAGGGGGGCACATGGCAGCCCCCAGCAAGGTTGGGTCTCAAGAGTGGACTCTCATCCCTTTCAGACTCTCTGGGGCCCCTCAAGGATGATACGCTGCTGGTGGAGACACGAGGCCCCCAGGACAACAGATCAATCTGTGCCTTGGAACCCAGTGGTTGCACCCCACTGCACAGCAGGGCCTCCACGGTGAGGGCTGGGGGACCCTTCTCCATGTACCTCTCCAGTTCCATCTCAAAACTAGCCTCAAATTTCCCCTCTATTCAATTTCCCCTCCTCTGAGCCAGGCTCTGTGCTGGTCTCTGGGGACATGAGGGTGATTCAGACCTGGGCCTTGTTCTCAGTGGTCTCTCAGAAATCTCCCAACTCCTAGTGCCATCCTCTCACTCTGCCCAGCTGCATGCAGCCTGGTGGTCTCCTAGGTGCAGTGCCCCTAGGTGACAGTCTCCTACCCCTTGGCTTGGCAGAGGGCAGCTCGCCTTGGAGAGCAGTTACTACAAGACCTGCAGTCAGGACAGTGTCTGCAGGTGAGTAGGTGGCAGGAGAGCCCTGCCCCAGCATCCAAGGGCAACACCCCTAACACTCTACCTTTGGCCTCTTCCACTCCTTCCTGTGCCTGAAGGCACCAGGGAGACTCACGCTTCCCAGGCAGAGGCCTCCTCACTGTCCTTCTAGCACCCATCCACCATCTATTTGTGCTTTTTTTGTTTCCAATCCTGGGGAAGCTAAGAGTTTGAAGGAACATAGTTCCTGTCCCCAAGCTACTCACTGCTGGCTAAAAACCCATAAACAGATAACAACATTCACATGTGCTAAGCGCTGGTTTCCAGGGAGAACCAAGAAGGGTCTCTTCCTGTGGGCCAGATTTGGCATGAAGGCACAGTCCAGGCAATAAGCATAAGCAAAGCCAGAGTAGCTTGCAAGAACCTGCTATGTGTGTGGGGAAATATGCATAATTGAGGCTGGAAATTTTGGAGATCAGGCTAGCGAGAATTTGGTGAGTGCTGAACCATAAGCTGAGGGCTCAGGGCTTGGTTTTGTTTGTGTCTTACAGCTGTGGGATAATGACCTGGGAGCACTATGGGCCTGCCCCATGGACAAGTGTGAGTATTACAAGAATGGCCCTTCCTCTTCACAGCTCTCTAGAAGCTGAAATCTTGACAGGAACCACTCATGCGGGCAACACACGCAGTGTCCTTCCCTGACTCAGATAAATCAAAGAGTCATTCTTCACTCATTCAGAAACCATGATGAGAGCTTGCAGGCTATCCCAGCATCACCAAGATACAATACATGCCCCCACCCCAGTCATAGAAGGCTAGAAAGGCATTAGCCCCAAATCATTTGGTAGGTGTGAGCTATTGAAGCACTCTCTACAAAGTAAGTGTCCAAAGCCATGAATGCATGTAACAGGGACCTGACCGTGATGGGGTAAGGAGTTCAGGGGAAAGGTTTGAGCTGAATTCTGAAGGCTGATCTAGGTGAAGGAGTTAGAGATGCATTTTTGTGAAGACTGTGGGGTGCTTTTTTGAGGAACTCCACAGTGGTCAGTGTGGCTGGAATGCCTTGGGAGGCAGACCCCTATCATGAGCTGAGGATGCATGGGCCATATAGGGCCTTGGGAGCCAAAGTAAGGAATTTGGAATTTACCTTAAGAGTAGCAGGAGCTTTCTAAAAGACTATAATCAGATTTGTATTTTTAAAAGATCTTTGGGTATGCCACGTGGTGAATGAATTGGAGACAAAAAAGAGGTCAGGGATATCAGAAGGCTGTTGCAGTCACCGGAGAGAGTGAAGTCAAGGACCCAGCCACCCTAGGCTTAAGGGACAATAATAATGACCTTTGAGGACTTACTATGGCCTGGCATTGCAAGTGCTTTATGTGTATTAACAGATGTAGTTCTCACAACAACCCTATCAGTAGGTACTATTGTTATCTCAATTTTACAGAGGTGAAAAACAAAGTGAAGTCACTTACCCAAGGTCAGCCAAGTAGATGGGTCTATATTCATATACTGGCTCTGACACTAAGTGCTGTGGACTTTGGGCAACTTACTTCAGTTCTCCTTCATGAAGTGGGGTGTAAGTGTAAGGTCTCTAACCAGCCCATCTCCTCCCCTTGGCCTCCCAGATATCCACCAGCGCTGGGCCCTGGTGTGGCTGGCCTGCCTACTCTTTGCTGCTGTGCTTTTCCTTCTCCTCCTCCTCAAAAAGGACCATGTGAAAGGTGAGTCATTTCCGGCTCCCCATTCCCCAGAGGTAGGACTGGATGGGGCCTGGGAGTTCAGAGACAGGAAGCAGCATCTGAGCTCACCCTTTGCCTCCGCCCCTCTCCCTGAACAGGGTGGCTGAGGCTCCTGAAGGAGGATGTCTACTCGGGGGGTGAGTGTGAGCAAGCGCCCGGCGGGGGGGCCGCCCCCAGCGGGCCGGGCCTCAGGCCATCTCACATCTTCCTTCCCCCTCTGTTTTCTCTCGCAGCGGCTGAGCTGAGCGCGCAGGGGTCCTTGGCCTGGTTCCACGCACAGCGGCTCCAGATCCTGCAGGAGGGCGGCATGGTGATCTTGCTCTTCTCGCCCGGGGCCGTGGCGCTGTGCCAGGAGTGGCTGCAG